TTCACCAGACTGCCAAAAATGCGCATGACACACGCAAAAGAAGGTTAAGGACACCTACCCTAGATAGTGGTTCTCAAACTTCAGTGAACAGCAGAATCACCAAGAGCTATTCAAACACAGATTGCTCTGCCCAGCTCTAGACTTTCGGATGAGTGGGTCTGAGGTGGCGGTTCCAGAATATGCATCTGTATACATGCATCCCAGGTGTTGCAGATGCTGCTAATTTGCTTTTTTTTAAAAAATTCATTTTATTGAAGTATAGTTGATTTACAAAGTTGTGTTAATTTCTGCTGTATAGCAAAGTGATTCAGTTATTAACGTGCTTCTAAAATCACACACTGAAAACCACTGACCTAGACCACCCTGAATCTGAATGTCTGGGACCATGACCAGGTGACTGTAATGCATCACCAGGTCTGGGAGCTGCTGATCTAGCTTCTGGATTACAAATCAGTGGTACGGTGGTATGCTTGCTTTCATGCCCTTGCCCATAGCACATGTAATTACCTAGCCACTGTGTTTTCCCCAACCCTGTTAGATAATAAGCCTAAGATGAATCTTAGGAAGTTACACAGTTACAGTAGTTTGCTATTATTTTCTCTTTACTTATTTTTAATTAATGCATTTCTAATTCTAAAACAGGAAAAAAAACCCATCAGAGTTATAAATTGCAATTCTGGCAAATGATGAGCTTTTTAGCTAGGTCAGTTAAACCAAGTAAAATAAAATTTCTTTTCACCCCCTCCCCCTAGCGCCCCTACCTGACCAGCTCACTGCCTCACTCATCCCACCCTAGGGACATAGCTAAGACTAAAATTAAAATTTCCTTTGGTGTTGGACTTGTAAATTAAAATTTAAAAATAACAGAAAACATTATTTAATTATTTTTGTGTCAAGTTAGCAAATAAAAAGAAATCATTTAAAGTTGAATGTAGCAGTTATATATTTTCTATTAATTCCTATATCTAATCTTTGTTGTTTTATGTTAAGGCTTTTTCCCACATAGTTGAAAATTTGGGGACACTGACAGAAAATATAGTCAAGAAGAGGAACATTATTTTTCTACCAATTTCTTAAACTAATAGGAAACACAGGTTCTATTTTCAGTTTTCCAGGAACCTATTTTTAGTGCTAAATTGTGCATACAAATTTGCTGTAGTGCTTACACAGGAAATTAAATTATCATGCTCTATTTATTTGGCAGGTTAACTTAAAAAAATTTTACCCCTCACCACCCCCCCAAATTTTTGAAACACCTCTAAAATGGAAGAACATTGAAGTAATTCCGTTTCTTATTTGGGGTTTCAGAATGAGAGGCTCAACTTGATGTTTTTGATATTTGAACTGAAGGTATCTAGCCAGGACTATTATGCGATTTAAAAATTAACACCAGCTCCTCATAGGGCTGCCTCATGGGGATACATATAACTAACTCTATTTTTAAAACATTAGTATTTCCTGAATTTTGTAGAGCTGTACAGACCTGATGACTTCTCGTTTTTAATCGCTTAGCAGGGCAAAACAACTGCATAGTTCATTTACTGGGTTAGCAACAGGGCAGTGTGCTTTCCTAGGAAATACCATTTTAAAAATCACTACTCTAAGTTTCCTTAACATTTATTCTTGCATCAGTATAAAATGTTTTCTTTCATACTTTGATCAGAGACATGAAAATGTTATTCAAAGTACTTTTTACTTATGCAGCTATCAATGGCAGGGAATGAAAATGTTTCATTTAGAAGAGGAAAGGCTGATGAAATCTGCCTCATATGATTTACTAGAATCTGTGGGGAATTGCATTTTGTATCCTATCTGAATAAATAATCTTGAGAGACTACAGTGCCTTTTTAATAAATTGACTCCTAAATTACTTCCCACTGTACCAAACACATCATTTTAAACTCGCCAAGTTTTCTTTCATTACCAGGCACCACTCTAGACAAATTCTCATTAAGGCTCTAACTTTCTTTCAATTACTAGAGCACTATGGAGACTACTTAATAAGTGCAGGTCCAAAGATTAAAGTCTTTGCAGAGATTACCTGACTCATTTCTGAAGAAAACAAGCGTCTGACCTTCACGAAAAATATTGTATCCAAGAGTGGGATGTACTACTCGCTTTTCACACACTAAAAAAATCTAGTTTTCTGTCCCTGTCTCCATCTGGAAGGACTGTGAGTCATTAGAAATGAGGTCAGTGAACTAGAGAGTAAAATATGGTTGGGGGGGAAAAACATGTAAATAGATGGTTGTGTGGAATTGGCTGTCACCCACACAGCTCAGGCCATTTTCTAGAAAGCCTTTCCTGACATGCCCAAATTGAGTATAGGTTCTCCTATAGCACATTGTATTTATCACATTATGTTGTAATTCTTTTTTTTTTTAACATCTTTATTGGAGTATAATTGCTTTACAATGGTGTGTTAGTTTCTGCTTTATAACAAAGTGAATCAGCTTATTTTTGTGTCTATCACCACCACATAAGCATTTAAAGCAAAAACAATGTCCCATTCATCTGAAGACCAGGCACAATATCATTACCAATGCTTAGATTTCCGATCTGGGAGTAAATAAAATAATATATTTATATTAGCAACTATTAAAAAATAATAAAGATAAAATGTTTCCTTTCCAATATGTTCTCTCATGCAAATGAAGGAATCAGCACTATGTAATCACCCAACGAATTTTATTCAAATTCATTCAAAATATTTCTGCCAAAGAAGATATCAATCACTTTGATCTTTGTAAATGATTCATCTTAACCCCGATCTATCCTCAGGGAAACAATTCAGTTAAGATTCACAAACCACAGTGGAAAGAACACCTGTGTTTATAAGCATATAGTGATGCTTAGGTGACGAATTGGGACTCAAGCTCCTGTGTAATAAAAGCCCAATCATCCAGGGCATTTAGATTCATCCATTGTGGACACAAGGTCAAGTAACCCATCTCCTCAGCCTAAATTTTACTAAGTTTCTGAGTCTATAAAATAGTTCCTCAGCATTACTGGCAAGTTTAGTAGTGGAAGCAAAGGACTGCCTAGGGCCTCACCTGCATGAACTTGCTATTGAACTAAAATCAACACTAAAGTAGGAACCTGGAGTCAGCGCCACTTATGCAGTGCTTTACTTGAAGTGGGGTTAAACAATTGTCTGTTTCAGTGTTTTGTTGATTCTTCATCAAAAAACTTTATTTCCCCTAACCTAACCTCCTCCAAGACTCTTTATGTCTCAAAGCTCCCCAGGTTAAAAGTGTTTTTGTTAGAACACAAACTATAATGTATAATAAAAGGGATATATATATAAATTGCAAGGTTTCCAAATAATATACATAAACCAAATTGATGATTATTTACATGATGGATGGTAAAATTCACTTCCTCCATTTGAATTTGACAAGAACTGCCTTCCTGACGAGGATGACATCACTTGCATGAGACTTGGAGCTGGCGAGTTCCCATTCTGAAGGAACAGCATTTTGGGAGGTAAAGGGAGCTGAAAGCTCTCAATCCAACTAGTAATTATCCAACTTCTAGTATCCAAGAAGTTATAGAGCATTTCTGACACTCTGACTGGGGCCTCAACACATTTTCCTATTGTAAAATATCTCTATGTGGTGGTTAGGTGCTATTTTTGGCACTGGTAATCAATGTAACTCTCCAAGTCTACTAGAAATTAAACACTGCACTAACATTATTTCTAGTGGAAAATATGTTTTGGGTTAAGAAATAAATTTCAAAAATCTGTGTATAGAATGATGACTCTATGAATTATTAATCAGCAAGAAGGGCCCCTTAAGAGGAAAGCAATCAATTACCTTTGATTTTGATGAACTAGAAATAGCTGAGATAACTTGGAAATGCTGGGAGTATAGGTGGATGTGGACTTAAATTATTTTCCTTTGTAACTTTGTGTAATCTTCTAAAATAAATTAGAAAACAATTCTCCAGTTCAAGGTGGAAAGGAAATTATAATGATTTATAACTGGCAAATGTACACTTCTGGCATACATTTATTTAGCTAGAAATATTTATATTTACATATATACTTATACATAAAGAATAATTTATTGCTTCAACAAATATTTTTTAGCACCTGTATTTTGAAACAAATATAAGTCTAGATATTAGCAATGCAATAATGGATAAAATAGACATGGGTCTTACATTTATAGACTTCTTAGTTTACAGCCCAACCCGGTAAATAATATAGTGCTATGAGTCATAAATAACCATATGTGACCCAATATGGTTAAGTCTCTCAAATCATGAATACCAAAGGATCAGAATGGTGAATTAGAGTTGACAGATTATACAGCTTAAATGAAGTAAATTATTACTACTTATCACCCACCATTTTTCACCTCATCACTTTTGAGACTGATGGGAAGGTAAAAAACGAATATAGTGAACTTATATATTTGAGGTAATATATTATGATATTAAACTGGGATGTAAAGTAAATTTTTGGTGAATCATTAATACGGAATTGTCCCTTGAATTAAGTCTTGTAATTTTGCATATTCTTTATCACAATAATTATACTGATACAGATCTTCTGAAAGAACTATTATGAACATGTCACAAAGATACAGCAAAAGTGTGTTCTCTGCGTTACCCTTGTGATTAGTTATATACATTATAATATAGCATAAAATGGAATATTTCTTTTTCTTAAAAATCTACAGAAAATATTTAATGACATGAGAAATGTTCATGTGTAAGTAGGCTACAAGACAGAGCATAATATGGTATTTTGTATGATTTTGTAATATACTATTTCTATATACTTATATTTATGTAATATTTATAAAAAGGTTATTAACTGTGGTTGTTGTTTGAGAATGGGGTTAGGCAAGATTTTTATTTTTTTCCTTTTGATCATGTATATTTTCTAAATCTATAACTTCCATAAATTTTAAATTTCTTAATAAACCCAATTTGAAACCCATAAAAATACTTGAGAATAATTTAAGAGAGAGCTGGGTAGAATTACTTACCCTAGTCCCATTAGCTGACAAACATCATTTGAAATCTGGGTCGTCCAGTTCTCAGCACAAGCTACATGCCATATGCTCTGTATTCTGAACTGCACCAAACCACGGTTTGTCGTGCCATTGAAGAGACGCACTAAAGAGATTAGATCATACATAGGGTCATTGTGACCTAAGTTGATAAAAGGAAATGATGGACTCTAAACATGCAATGTTCTTAACATTGAGAATTTAGAGATTGATAGTATGTAATTTTTCGTAACAGTATGCTGGAAGTCTTAAGTTGAAAAAGATAAATTCGGTAGACTTAATTTTGCTCTTTCATATGACTATAAAAAGGGAAAGGGCAGAGATATGCGAGTTCACTGCATACCAATACAGCAAATAAACAGAAAATAAAGCTTTTTGAAGAGAATGTCTTACAAATGTGTTCTCTAAAAGAAGGAAAACTCAAGTTCAGGAATAACTGTAAGCATTTTTTTTTTCCTACTTCTTTCTCCAGAAGCTATTTTCTTTGCCCTTATTCTTTTGCTGTTTGGTTTCCGTCACCTTCCCCTCTATCTTACAACCATTTTGGATAGAGTGTTAAGGCCATTAGTGACTAAGTGGGGATTGGGTTAAGCTAAGCTAGTTTATCAAACAGGTAAAATATCACCCATCATAGTTTTACCCACAGACGCCACATTGTAATTCTGTAAGTGAATGTTATGTTTACATTTTTTCCCTATTATAAAAAGAATAACAGCATGCACTTTAGAATTAGACAGACTTAGGCTGGAAACACAGCTCTAGCCCTTGTTAGGTGTGTGATCTTTGGCAGCCCCTTAACTCCTCCAAGCCTCAGCTTTCTCATGACTGAAATAGAGTTCATTCTAATTATGTTAAGTTTGTTTTACAGCACTTAGTTACAGTGCATGGCACATCATAAATAGCATTAAGTATGTGCTCTGAAATAAAAGTAAGACAGAGTAAAAGTAGCCATTACTCCTAATGTGATAGAGATCTGGAGTGGGGCTGGACAGGAGTCGCAGGCAGAAGGAGTAGTAGATACTGAAGAATCAAGCATGTGAAGGAACAAGTCTAAGAAAGACAGTTATAAATGAGCATGAGGGTGCCTCTGTGTGTAGGCAATGTACAGAGTATAATAGTTAATAAGAGTGATGCTAGTGTGCCTGGTGTGGGCTGTTGTCTCTCTGTGGTATTTTATGCTTTTTACCTGAAGATGGGTTGTCCTAGACTTAAAGTTATTAAATGTAGTCAAGTTTAAACAAACAAACAGAAACAAGAGTTTGCATGTTAGCTTTTATTCTAACCAGAATGGTGACAGCGGTGCTGAAATCACCGGGAGATCATAACTTCAGAGTACCAAAATATATCCTAATAAATATAGTCATAATCTTCCTTTCACATCTGTAGAATCCAAATGTAGAGGTTAAGCTGGTAAAAAGTATTTTCCTAAAAATAAAACGTACCACAATGTGCTTCATCTGAGCCATCCTTACAGTGTGGAAAACTGTCACAGAGATTCACCAGTGGGACACACTCTCCATTTTTACACTGAAAATTGTCTTCCTTGCAGGGCTCTGTGGGGGAAAAATATGTACTGTATAGGATAAAGAAATGACAGACGGTTCTAGAGTACCCATCCCATTTCTGCCCCTTTAAACATCCTGTTATTTGCCACAGTGCATAGTTAAAGCTGGCTTTGATATTGGCTATGACTACACACTTACTGCTCAGAATGTTTCTGCAATAGTTCTGTCAAAGCCAGAGGCATGGCTTAAGAAGAGCATGTATAAAACCTTAAGCATCTCCTTTGCAGCAGAGGGCAGGGCAGTTGCAAGAGATGGCTGAGAGGTTTTGGACATACCTCTCCCGCACCATCTCTGTGAGTCTCAAATTCTTCCAACCCAAATGAACATATTGGGCTGGCCAAAAAGTTCGTTCATAAGATGTTATGGGAAAACCAGAACAAACTTTTTGGCCAACCCAGTACAAGTAACAACCACTGGCATGTTACACAAGCATAAAGAGATCTCTTGGTTTTACCATCCAAATGATACCTCCAAACATTTATTATATAGAAATGTGGAAAGGGCCTTTTGGTGGGATCAAAGTTGGACCAGGCTGGAAGCAGTGAGCTTGATTAAAATGTGATGAGATGGGAAAAAGTCATCTAAAGAAATGGAACCTGCAATAGTGGTAATATGAAGGGAGGTAGGAATGGAGAGCCAAACAAGAAAAGCAGGGTTGGAGTCATGGGAATGTGCTTGGACATTAAGAAACAGAAGGAAAATGAAGAGGCTGGACAAAGAAGGAACTGAGTAGATCCGGTAGTTTTTTCCAGAATTTGAGCTGTGCAGAAAGATGTCTACTTGAAATACTCATTGTGTAAAAGGAGTGAGAACTATGTTTCCTGTAAATGTTTGTTTAAATCTTAAGGACTTTTGCCCTGGGAGAGTCTTCATCTCACTGGAAAGAGGGGTTTGCTTTCCTCAAGTTGTTTTCTGATTGACTTGGGAGGGGTAGCTACATCCTGATATTAGGATTCTGTTGGGGCCACACGGTATTTGGACCCTCTGAGAAAGGAAATATTAGCTGGGTATGGAGAAGCTTGAAGTTTCTTCCCCTAGTGGTGCATGCACAACAATAATGGGGAAGAAAAAGCACTTGAAAAAAAAAAAGGAACAGGGAAACCTGTATTTTAAAAGCTATTAGTGAATATTAATCATTGACTACTATACTGTACTGTTTTCATAGATACACAATTCATGTTAAAATGGTTTCAAAAACAAATGGTACTGGTCTCCATAGAGACTTTCTGAATTTATGATGGCCAAATGTAATGACACCTGAAAGGAATAATTTCTGTTGCTTTAGAATCTAGGTTGTAGCCCCAAATCTGTGAGCATTGACAAATACTGTAATGTTCTAAAGAGAGGTACTAAATGTAGCCATACTAATACTTTAAAAATTACTGAAACTAGTCTGGTGACTATAAATTTCTAGCTAGCACCTATTTCCAGCTATGAAAAAGAAGTTTCGAGTTTTTTTCTAGAAACAGACTAAATAAGGGTCTTAAGGAATAGTGTTTTCATGTGCAATATGGGAGGAAGTTGCCATCCAGCAAACCAAGTGAAGGATGCCCCGAGAGAACCAACTCATACTGGGTTGCCTTAAAGAAGAGAGGTCATCTCACTCCCCAGCTGAAAGTTTGTTACACTGCAGAGTCATAAGGGCTAGTGCTTACACGGGACTAGTGCAGGGACTTTCAGGTACTTTTTTCAGCTGGGACCACAGTAAAAATACATATTTTAAATTGTACTCTAGGGCATACCCCAATGTGTATATGTGTGTGTGTGTGCATGTAACTAAATTAAAATTTACTTTGTTCTGTTATTTCTATTCTATTCCATTCCATCCCATCCCATCCCATCCCATCCCATCCCATCCCATCCCATCCCATCCCATCCCATTGTATTCTATTCTATTCTATTCCATCCCATTCCATCCATTTTGCTCCATAGCAAAGAATGGTGGCCAAAACTCAATAAATTGATTTCATGATACACTTTTTTTTTTGTTGTTTCCTGCGGTACGCGGGCCTCTTACTGCTGTGGCCTCTCCCGTTGCGGAGCACAGGCTCCGAACGCGCAGGCTCAGCAGCCACGGCTCACGGGCCCAGCCGCTCCGCGGCATGTGGGATCTTCCCGGACCGGGGCACGAACCCGCGTCCCCTGCATCAGCAGGCGGACTCTCAACCACTGCGCCACCAGGGAAGCCCTCATGATACACTTTTTGAAAAATACCAGACTAAACTGAAGTATAGTGAAAAATTTCATGGGAGATGGTAACTTTAGTGTCCTAAATTTTGTGGGTAGATAGCTATATAAATAAAGATCAGTATTCACTTCCTGTGTAATGAATTTAGAAGCCAGACATTTGGCTGGAACTTTCCTTGATGATAGTTAGGTATAAGAGAGAGGGTGGCAGTAGAAAAAACCTGCATTTTCTCCATGTGCAGGGCAGTGCATGAGTTTCGTTTTGGCCACATGGACACTGGGAAAGATAACTGAGTGACATTCGCCTGTCAGGACAAGCTGGCTCCAGCACAAATACGTGCGGGAATGAAGCCTGGCTGGTGGGGATTATGAGCAAAGCAGGGTTATAAGAGATCACAGGGTAAGTAGTGTACTACCCATGCCTACTGTGCAGTGGTCCTGGGGAGGGGGGAGAGGAACACACCAAAGAACCCACAACTCTGTTCTACAAAAGAGTTAGCATTTGTCCAGGAGCTACTGTTAGCTGAAAGAAAACTACAGTGGTGGAAGATTATCCTTTTCTGCCTCTCTTCCAACACTGGAGCTATGGGAAGATGGAAGGGAAAGAAAGTGGGAAATAAGTTAAAGACAATATTTCCACCTTCTTCTACTTTAAGATATCGGGCCAAGATTTGTGCCTGAGTTGGGAGATTAAAAAAGAAAGAGCTGTGACTTAGATGATATTAAGGTTTTAATGTTGTATTTGACTGTACGTTTTAATACCTAAAAGTGAGGTTTAATTACCCAGTTAAGAAAATTGCATACCTAAAATAACTGGAAAAATGAAGAGATCTGCCTGAAATATCCCAGAATAAAAAGAGAGATTTGGGGCTTCCCTGGTGGCACAGTGGTTGAGAGTCCGCCTACCGATGCAGGAGACACAGCTTCATTTCCCGGTCCGGGAAGATCCCACATGCCACGGAGCGGCTGGGCCCATGAGCCATGGCCGCTGAGCCTGCGCGTCCGGAGCCTGTGCTCCACAACCGGAGAGGCCACAACAGTGAGAGGCTCGCATACCGCAAAAAAAAAAAAAAAAAAAGAGAGAGATTTGAAATAAAGTAAGTAGAGAAAAATAAAGTTTTATCTGTTTATATTCTCATCGGGTCCATTCTTTAAATTGAATGTACAATGTACTATCTGTAATACCCTTATGCCTTGTTTCTTCATTTTATATGCTTAGGACTTGACAAAATGACTGGAACAGAGTAGGAAATCAGTAGGTATTTGTTAAGTGTTAAGTGAATTAATTTATGTTAAATGAGTGACATGCCTCAAAAATCAGTATGAACCTTAGTAATAGAGTTGACACAATACAAAGAAATCTTTAAAAGTATGATTTCAAAAAAACATTTAAAAATTAGGCAGCTGATTGGCTGATGTTAACTCTATTGATTTGAAAAATAAAAATTGATTCTGTGAATTATGAAGATAAAATTTACTGATTTGAGTGGTGGTTAAAACATAAGCTCTGGAATCATATGACTGGTTTGATCTGAAGCTTAGCCATTTCCTTTTTTTTTTTTTAACATCTTTATTGGAGTATAATTGCTTTACAATGCTGTGTTAGTTTCTGCTTTATAACAAAGTGAATCAGCTATACATATATATCCCCATATCTCTTCCCTCTTGCATCTCCCTCCCTTCCACTCTCTCTATCCCACCCCTCTAGGTGGTCACAAAGCACCGAGCTGATCTCCCTGTGATATGCGGCTGCTTCCCACTAGCTATCGGTTTTACATTTGGTAGTGTATATATGTCCATGCCACTCTCTTACTTTGTCCTAGTTTACCCTTCCCCTTCCCTGTGTCCTCAAGTCCATTCTCTAATAGGTCTACATCTTTATTCCCATCCTGCCCCTAGGTTCTTCATGACCTTTTTTTTTTAATTTTTAGATTCCATATATATGTGTTAGCATACGGTATTTGTTTTTCTCTTTTTGACTTATTTCACTATGTATGACAGACTCTAGGTCCATCCACCTCACTACAAATAACTCAATTTCGTTTCTTTTTATGGCTGAGTAATATTCCATTGTGTTTATGTGCCACATCTTCTTTATCCATTCATCTGTCGATGGACACTTAGGTTGCTTCCATGTCCTGGCTATTGTAAATAGAGTTGCAATGAACATTATGGTACATGACTCTTTTTGAATTATGGTTTTCTCAGGGTATTTGCCCAGTAGTAGGATTGCTGGATCGTATGGTAGTTCTATTTTTAGTTTTTTAAGGAACCTCCATACTGTTCTCCATACTGGCTGTATCAATTTACATTGCCACCAACAGTGCAAGAGGGTTCCCTATTCTCCACACCCTCTCCAGCAGTTATTGTTTGTAGATTTTTTGATGATGGCCATTCTGACTGGTGTGAGGTAATAGCTCATTGTAGTTTTGATTTGCATTTCTCTAATGATTAATGATGTTGAGAATTCTTTCATGTGTTTGTTGGCAATCTGTATATCTTCTTTGGAGAAATGTCTATTCAGGTCTTTTGCCCATTTTTGGATTGGGTTGTTTCTTTTTTTGATATTGAGCTGCATGAGCTGCTTGTATATTTTGGAGATTAATCCTTTGTCAGTTGCTTCATTTGCAAATATCTTCTCCCATTTTGAGGGTTGTCTTTTCATCTTGTTTATGGTTCCCTTTGCTGTGTAAAAGCTTTTGAGTTTCATTAGGTCCCGTTTGTTTATTTTTGTTTTTATTTCCATTTCTCTAGGAGGTGGGTCAAAAAGGATCTTTCTGTGATTTATGTCATAGAGTGTT